GTCCTCCACGAAGGCATCCCTTCCCTTAGGCAGATAGCCTTAGTGTGCTTTGCCATAATTAAAATACACCATCAACGGGAATTTCAACTTTACCTTTGCCTTTTATATTGAGTATCTATTATAAACGTAGTTTTAACGATGATAGCGTCTCTTCTGAGATAAGAACCAGATAATCCATTTGTTCTGTTACAACCTAGTGAGCTGAAGATTAAGAGTGCTATAATGTTGATATTGATAATCTAATAGTTAAAAGATGCAACACATTAACACAGGGAATTACAGTTTTAAGGTTCTGTATTCATGTGTTCTGTATTCTGTGAATTAGATTCTAGTCAAAAAGCTGGTACGTGATAACTTAAACGATCATTTCTCGTCATTTTTCATTGATTTAATAAAAAATATAAGAAAATAACTTTATATATATATATTAGTTTTTATATTTTTGCTCAAATCATTTGTTAGTACTTTTACTAATGTTTTAAATATACCTTAATTTGATTAGCATATTGCTTACTATTAGTATTGATTCTTACTTGTAAATATTCAAAATGTTGTATTTTTTTCTCTTGTAACACATTTCATTGATGCTTATTTTGCTTTATGTTAATGTTTTCACAGAACCACAGTATTTAAGCGGCTTTTTAGCATACGAACTAGGATTTTTTCTTTAAACCTTTTTCTAAATTTTGCAGCACAATGCGCAAAGTTTTTCACCACATAGGTCTTTTATCGTTTGTGCTTCTTACTTTACTTTAATTTATATATATATATATACAGTTTAAAATAAAGTAATTAAAAGTAAATTAAAAAGCCTATGACTTGCGTATGATATATCGAAAGTTTTCTTATAAATTATTTATAAAGTATACTGCTTTTTCTACTTTTTTTTTTAATTTCATATTTCCATCTTCAAAGCAACTGACGGCGCCCATCACTTACATTTTTGACATAAACGGACACTGTTTCGCTAGTTTCCTCAAAACTCTTATTCCCGTCATGCTTAAGGTCATGATTATTTAACCTTCATTATTCAGACAGTGTTTATTTATATACAATTAGCTTTATTTCACAACAGTGCCCCCCTTTTCTTTTATTTTAACTGCTTTCTGTAAGCAAAGCCGGGCTTGATCTACTGTTATAGAGCAGAATTTACGAATCTTCTTAATCGTCGCACATTATTGGAGTACAAAATTTTGATCTGATTGAGAATCTGTTTTTTAATTAATATTATACTTTAACTAAATGAATAAGAAATTTATGCAAAAATTTGGTTCTTTTACAGCAGAACAAAGCCTTAATAGTCCAATTATTATTTCTGAACTCTTTGTGTGTCCTTATCTAATTATCATTTCAGCAATAAAAGAGAACGGTCACATGTTAAAAAAACAAGCAAGCTTATTAAACAAAAGAAATTAAAATTTATTTTAAACGTAACTTTTAAGCGTTATCAGACTACTGTTATAAAAATTTCAAATAATTCACAAACGATAACTTAAATCAGTATCTGGAGGAATATACCTAATTGGTTTTCTTTATCTTCTAAAATGAATTCAAAATTAAACTGATCTATCTAGCGAGTGTCATTCTCGTTGGGCTAGTGACTGATCTTCCAGAGCAGTTGACCCTTAAGACTATACCAAAAAACTGGCCAGAGCGTAAGACAGCTGGCGTACCAAGGTTCGCAGTGCATCAGTTGAATTCATGTCTCTGACATCATACAAAAACAATGAGTCTGTAAAATCGTTGTTTTGAAAAAACCGAGTTTGAAAGTTCGAGCTTGGACGGTAAAGACAGGATTGGTTAAAAAAGGTCGAATTTTTCCTTCCTTTTAACACCGTAAAACATCAGTCGAACAGCAGACTATAAAGTACATTTAAATAAGAACAGCAAAAAGGTATAAATTCATGGTTTGATTATGAGGTCCAACAATATCAAACGTACGCTCTCTTCTTAACTCCTTTTATTTAACCCCTAATAATTATTTCAGAGTAAAATAATATTTAAATGAATAATTTTAGCTAAAGATAATTCTGGCTGAACTATTGCGATCGATTTCTGATAATTGTTAAATATTATTTGTTCGAGAATCAGAGCGGCTGTTCAGTATGAGATATTTTTCTTGTTAAAAAGTAGTCTATATAATGTTTATTACATAAATATCACATATCAGCTTCATTAATGATGAGATTTCTAATTATTTTTAAATGTTACTACAATTAATAATTGTTATTACAGTCCCAATCTTTAATTGTTGCAGCTGTTCTTAGTAAAACTCATGATGAGGAAATTCAGAATGATTCCAGTTATTTACTTCGTTTATATTCTGATTATCAATATAAAGCTCGGATGTTTAGACACTGAAAACTAACAAGCAAAGACTCTAAAATTGTGAAAAATAGGTCTTTATAAATAAGAATAATTAATTAAAATTATTCATAAAAGTCTAAACAACGGGTTTAAGGAATATATGAACAGTATTATATCAAAAAAGAAATCAGTAACGTGTATAAATCGTAATGTTCGCTCGTTGTCAAAATTTTGTGTAAATGATGTAGAAGTAATTAAAATCTTAATATACAAGACTATACGTTATTCACGTTCCATAATATTACTAGGAGGTTTTTTTTTTTTTTTTTTTTTTTTTTTTATTTTATTTTATTTTATTTTCAGCCATTTTATGCCTGTTGAATAAAATCTATCTGAACTGGGAGGAACAAGTTTCCGCGTCAGTTGACGTAATAGGGTCAGCCAGCTTATTATGTATTTATTATTTTGAAGCAGCATTTTATGTATGGAAAAAAGTCACTAGAAATTTTCGAGCATCATAACGCTTTCGAATTCCTGATTGAATGATTGAAAGTGGTAACTTTATCATATCTTTTGTATTTCCCTTATACCTGTTTTGCCAGGAACACAATTTAAATGATTATAAGCATTTTCAGTGATTTACAGCCGCTGTAACAAGAAAATATTTCCTTTTTTTCCGAGTATCTTTATTGGCTCAGGTACTTCGTTAAAATATGCAGCAATAAATCCTAATATATTCTAATTTTTCAGCTGTCAAGACGTAATATTTTAACTCTTTTTAAGCCAATGGCTTCCGTATCCGAAAATCAGTTGATTATTTCTGCAACTTCTTCGAAGTATGAACAATCGTAATCAGCTGCAGACAATGACTCCGATCTTGTTACAATGAGTTTGGATGATAAAAAAATATTTGGGGCTCTCTCTTCCCATGAAGGCGTGAATTCTGGTGGAAGCTTTTTTTCACGTTTGAGGGAGGGCTGAAGGTCAGTTTCAGTGAAACGAAGAAAAAAATCTTTGTTATATAGCAACGACGATAATATCAGCAGTGAATCTATCGTTTTCCTTCCGATTTCTGGTATATAGCAACCATCAAGAGAGTTTCAAGGAAATGTTTCGTTCATCCATTTTTGGGATAACTATAGAAAGCTTTCAGTTTTTGATCTTCTGCGGGTAGACATCGGCGCTAAGAAATGCTTCATTTGCTTCCTTTGAATAGTTCTTTATTTTGAGAGTTTATCCATAGATCTTCTCAAGTGTTGCACTACAAAATAACCCTTTCCGCCGAACTTCCATATTTTGTGAAACTTACCTCTTAAAACATTTCCAACTATTAAGAAAACCAGCTTTTGAGAATCACTGATGCGATTTCCTTCGCGAAAGCAAATACCTTTTTACTCACATTGGCTTTCACTGTAAGCATCGTAAACAGAACTAAAAACTCAAATCTCTATTGCAAAATTAATTTTATTAAAACCGCATATGTAAAAGTTAAACACGTTTCTTACAATTTCTACGGGTTGTTAGATAGTCACATTTGGATTCCCATTTGCGAAGATTAACACACTGCGACTACTAAGCAACCAGTTCATATTACTTCTTAGGATCAGAATCATCTATTGACAGAAAACTCGAAAATTAACGCACGGATTGCTAAATAGTTGCGCTTCTACACAATAATACAAATGCATAGCTACCAAAGAATACAAAATGTTTTGTTTAAAATAATTGAATTGAAAAGACCGACTGGATTGTTACGATAGAGGGCAAGGAGGTTACCTGCTGAAAGGAGGAGATGCCATCGAGAAGGACTTTCAAATGGAAACTGGCTTGTATTTATGTTATAGATGATTCTTAAATAAGCCGTAAATTATGAAAATACATCAGAAAGTCAGAATAGGAATTTATGACAGGAAAATATCAAATATCTGCAAAAATTATTGAGCATCCGGATTCTAGCTATAAGATGTTGAAAATAAAAGCCTGTCATCTATTTCTTCCCGATTTATAAGTCTAAGGATAGAGAATTATTCAGAAAGGAGCTTAGACTTGAAGTAAGTTAACTAAGAATTTTAAAGCTGAGCAAAATTCTGCGTTTTTTGAGCAGCAAGTGATCTACCTATAGTCATTAGGATTTTTGATGCTGGAAACGTGAAAAAAAAATGCTGGAGACTCTCAAACTCCGGACCGCCTGGCTACGCGTCGAGTGGGCTTTCAATTACACCACGAAGGCATGCAAAAAGAAGGGAGAAAATACGTATGTGCCTGCCTTTACAAAACTCACCTGTCGATATGGAAAAGCGAGCATCTGTCCTATATGCTGATCTATCACCTTATTTATCAGGAAAAATATCTGAGCACTCGTAGCTTCTTTGATTCTATAACAGATAACAAACTTAATAATAACTTCAAAATACCTACGGCTCTTTTCAAAATATGCATTATTCTCTTTGACCAAAAATGGTTCTAGGATAAAAGAGAATATTCCTTTTTATATAGGTGTAACTAAAAGAAGAAAGAAAAAAAAAAAAAAAAAGATAGTATGTTTCTGAATTTTAAGTACCTTCAAATGCGAGTTTAAAATTTGCATGGAACCAAGTTTAATATAAAATGAATATCTTGCATTGTTTTGTTTTTAAGCGACGAATGTGTAATATAAATTACAAGTATTACTATTTAAATTTTTTCTTCTTTAGGATATTGACGTGGATGTTGTAGCTATTATAAATGACACAACAGGAACCCTTATGTCTTGCGCACATAAGAACCGAGAATGCAGAATAGGACTTATCATAGGTAAAGAACAAAACTTTTATTTTTTTAAAATAAAATGTATTAGCGATTAACCTTTCCGGTATTGTCTTTGAAGATATCGGAAGATATCTCTTTGGGAGACGTACCTTTTCGCAGTCGTTTCTATTGTGCGCAGCCAGTGGCGTAGCCATGGAGGTAAGAAGTAAGATGGAGTAGCCCTAAACAAGTTTCTCCCGTACCCTGCTTTGAAGCACCGGCGATCCCTACGTGGTGACCAAAACATTGGGTCCTTTACCATTAAGTTCAATGGGATTTGACGCCTTCGGATGTAAATATTTTGTAATTACGTCGTAAATATACATATAAATGTATATATTTTCTTTTTCTACAACACTTCAGAGACCTAAGTATATGAAAACAACATATTTTTAAACATTTCATTCTGAACGGAATTAAATGCTATACTTTTCACAGGACAGTTTTCTCAGAATGGTTTAATTTGAATGAAATATTTTCACAAGTTTTCGTTAATTACATTAAAAAAAAATTAAGGTAATTCGATTTTATTCGGTTAAGGTACAAAAATTAAGACCAAAGTTTATTGTATTATTAATATTAAAATTATGCATTATTTCTTTTTTATTTACAGAACTTCTTCCTAAAATACTTTCTTAAATATGACATGATTTTTTGGCTTCTGAGGCATCTTTTAAATCGAAAAATGTAAGTCAATTTATAATTAATGCTCTATTCGGTTCATTTTAAATTAGAGAATTATTAGGAATTAGCGAAATACTTTAAATAGTACTTGACTTTCTCTGAACATTTCTGAAAGGGAATAAAATAAGTTTTTTTTTTTTTAAGTATTATTTAAAACTTACTGAGTTATTATAAAATGTAAGGGGAATAATTCTTTTAATTATACTTATCAGATTTTTTTTTTACTCTTCATTTCAACAATACATATTCCAAAACTCTTTATTACGTTCTTAAGTGCGCATCTCATAGCATTTGCTTTACAATACCTTTTAACAGATTGCTTTCAAATACGAACAATTCTTGCTTAAATAGTTTTATAACGTATTTGTCAACAGGATTTCAATTTATGTTTACAATTAAATATTAAGGTTATTATATATTTAGATAACATTTTTATAATCATTATAAATTAGATACATTTAATAATTAGATTTCTTCACAGTACTTTCACAGTTGTTTATAAGTGAATAAATTCTTCATTTCAAATACATTTATAAATAATTTAATAAATAGTTATGTATTTTTTCAAAGGGCAGACATACATGCTTTTTGCAAGCACATGCATAAATACCCATACATATTTCCTATTTTTCATTTTCTGGCATGTGCAAATCTTAAAATCTTCTGTGCATTCACTATATTTTTCGTGTAAAGTAATTTACAACTAATTTAGCATACATACCAGAAAGTTTTACATAAAAAATACTATATATGAATATATAATTTGAATGAAAATTAAATGCATTATTTTTAATACCCACTCAAAGGTCAGTTTTTCTTCAAAATTCCTCCACGATGGCATCTCTCCTCTTTAGGCAGATAGCCCTTGCATGCCGTTACTCTATTTAATAAAAACTTAATCTGACCTATGTGCCTAATTACAAATATTTTAACATACATAATTTTCTATTTACATTTAGCCATCAAGTTTCAAACTTTTCAAATCTTCTAGAAAATAAATTTTGGCAGAGCACTCAGTATCTCTTTTAGCAATTTTACACAGTTTAATAATTCTTTGATAATATAATAAATAATAACTATCCAATTCACATAATTGACCGTATTGTCATCAGATCGCAATCTTGATTTCCTTACTCTGCATAATAGCTTCATTTTTTTAAAACAGTTAAAACAACTAATTGATCTAAATCACTTACCTGAAATTTTCATGCTGTGAGGTAATCCAGAAGGTAACAATATACAAAGTATGTTGATATACCAATTTATAACACTTTTTCATGTCTTCAAACTTTCAAAAATAGAGGACCATTACTCAAGTATATATATGTATTGAATAAGAAAGATTTTTCATTCATAATTTTTTATTACATTTAGTAATCAGCAAAACATGTTGCTAAATAAAATTTTAAAAAAGAGAGAGAAAACTTTATTTTTCCCCTTAAAACTAACTCTATTAATCACTGACCATGAAATAAGATAAGTTTTGTATACAACTGACGCATAGATACTGAGTTATTTACAACATTTTTGCAAAAATAAGCGTATCTTATTTGCAAATATTCTTTAATGATTGCTCTTATTAATGTAAAATGTGGTTATGCACTGGATCAGTTTCAAGCAAATGTTCATTTAAAAAAAGACCGAGAAAAAAAGACTTGCGTGGGAAAAATTTAAAAATCTGGAATCAATAAGAGGACCATTCATGATCGGACCTCCTTTGGCAGGATATACAAATGTTTCCACCTTCGTCGATTACCCTATTTTCAAATTCTTAATAAGCTGTCTTGATGATGTAGCACGTTCACATGGTCACATTATCTTCACCGCACATGGTACTTCCGCCAAATTCGCAATGTATCCCTCTTCTGTTCCACACATTTGTGTAAAACTGTACATAATTTTACACAAATGTGTGGTTCCAAATCAAGGGAAAGCTAACTTATTGGCATATCTGTGTGTATATTTATTAATTTTGACGAGGATTGCAGCATTTGATAGTAATTTTATTTTTAATTAACCCAAATAAGTAAAACGCGTAAGCCCAATGTGATTATTTTTCAGATATATAAAATTAAAACGATGAGTTTAAAATGAGCAGCAGTAAAGCCTCTCCTCTAAAAAATTTTAAAAGGTACATGTTACAATAATATATGGATGTGAAAAAAATTTGTTTTATTTAAAACATTTTGGCGTTTGGAAAATAAAATAAAAGTAGCGAATACTCTCAAGGGTATCGAAAGACGTATACAATTTTAAATGTACCGTAAGGTATTTTTCATTCTTTAAGCATAACATTTTTCTTAAAATCTATATTTTGTAGTTCAACAGCTTAGAATTTTATAAAACAAATTCATAATCAAAATCGCTATTGTTAGTTATCGAAAAATAAACCAAGATGTGATTTTTGCGTAAATGTCACTAAACTATACAAATTGCTATTATCCATCACACTATGAATGTTTCTTCATGCGAAAGTGTCCCTTTTTTCGATTTGTATGGAACTGCCGTGTGTCGAAATACTATCAGAACCCTGTCAAGCGAGCTTCTGAATGTAAACAAAGAACACCCCAACTGGTGACCCAGGCTTCAAAGCATTGCTTCACTTCTAGTGCCGGTTGGCCCCTCCTTCCTTTCCTACCTCCATGGACGTAGCAAGGGGGGCAAGGGGGTGTATGATGTCCCGGGCGCTGCTCGCAAAGGGGCGCCAAATGGTCTCCAAACAAGATTTTCTGGAAAATTTCAGTTTTTATTTTGATCGATTTCTGGAAAATATATTTGAAATTAATAATTATTGTAATATAATTAATTATTTATTTTCCTGATTTTTCTGATAAAATGTGTAATAAAATGTTTGCAGTACATGAACCAAATATCTCCGCATACAAAACGTTCTTTTTGACCACTTTATTTCTCTAAGATATATATATTTTTAACGAAATGCAACTATAGCTCCCGCTTTTTATTTTAAATCGTTAATACGACCTTGTCCCGAATTTCTTAAACATATTCAGTTTCCAGAAACTGATTCCACAGTCTGGAAATGACATTTTGAGAAACTCCTAACGCTTCCACTATAATTGATTGCGTTTGACTGTTCTGTAAACGACCGATGGCCTTCCTGGCTACCGATTCAACTCATCTTGTTGAGACATCGTATATTCACTGCTACGAAGCATTCAAATCGTGTCAATTGTTTTATCTTCTACTACAAAAGGAATGCTGCAGGTCGGTCGCTCCTGACTTTTTTATCTAAAACGCATAGTTTTCGATGTCACAGACTAAATTTGCATATTCCCAACTTTGTAACCGTTATAATTTTCCTTTACAATCTGTTCTATTTCCTTTTGTTAAAAAGGTTGTCGATTATATTCTTATTTCATACCGAACCCACGATATCCCCTAATTGTTTTGAGCAGTGAATGTGACTGCAAGATATTACTCCTCAGTAGAAAAGAAACAGAACCTAAAACTCCATTAAAATCTATGGATAAAATGTTTTCCCAAACCTAAGAATCGCACTTCAAATACTTCTTACCATTTCATTATCAAATGCTAGCTATGAACGTTCGTTCAGCAAATTAAAATAAATTTGACATATTTACAACCAACGATGGGGCAAGATCCCTTAAGTCATCTAGCATTTTTAAAAGTGCCGAAGTAAAAAAATTTGAAGAAATCGGCTTTGATGAAGTAATTGATAAATTTGCTTCATCCAAGGCAAGAAAAATGTATACATAGTAATTAATGTAATGTATTATAATATTTGTATTATTATTAATAAACATATCTACTTATCTATAATATATATTAAACTTTTAATTATTTAAAAATTTCACTTTTTAAAAACAATTACAAAAATATGTAAAATAAATAATACTTTTTTAACTAATTCTAGATCATCGTATGTCTGATTTTTCCGCCGACACAGATATATTTCCGAATCCATTGCTAGTTAGTGACTATTGTTAATATATTTTAGAATATTTATGGCAGATTCAGCATTTTATTATTCTCTGCATTATTTTCTTATTAAGAATATATTCTATACATTATATTACCGTAAGTGATTTTTTTTTGGGGGGGGCGCCAAAAAGGTATTTTGCCCCGGCGCCAGTTATGGTCGCTACGCCACTGTGCGCAGCGAGTTATAGTATACCGTTAAGTTTTAAATTCAAACATCTCGTCAAAAAACTGATTCAAATACCAGTGATATTCAATTTTTATTAAATCTCATTGTGGATCAGAATAAGCAGCAGATTTTAAATTCAGACAGCATAGAACAGGCAGAAAGAGAAAGTGTTTTGTTCTTGGTTTTCATTAAATCATTTAGAAAACGGAAATGAGCTTGAAGAATTCAAAGTCCAAAACACTAAATAAGTCAACGAACGATAAAAAAAACCTTCAGTGAACTTCGTACACAACTCAAACTTAAGACTGAACTAAAATTAGTTAATGCTCTGAGACTCGTCTCCTTATAAAAAGTAAAGAGAGTCTGGAGGAATACAGAAAATTTCACACCTTTAGCTCAAAATTAAAATATTGATTGAATGTCAGAATTTCGTGTCCTTTAAAACACATCTTGTTGGTGGTATTGCCAACTATTAGAAACTTCCCCCTATTTACCTCAGTGTATTCAAATTAATGAATGCCGTGTCAGTAGTTTTAAGAGAGTTATTTTCATGGAGGAAACTGAATATGCATGAAATTTGCTGCACTATAATATGATAACACAATTACAAGCACATGTGCAAAAAAAGCGTTTATGATTATTTACACGGCTGCATAGCAGTTTCTAGAATGGAAGTATTTAAATAAATGGCTTAAATAACTGCAGAATTTCGGTTTTCTGAGCATCACATTGCAGATCATAATAAGCAGTAGATTCAGTATTTGGCATATAAAACATCAAACATAATGCTAGATTGCTTTCACTTGGTTCGATATTCCATGGCAGTGTTATCATCAAACAAATAATCCAGTGGGTAATAATTAATATTTGGAAATAAGAGGAAATTTAGTTCTATTGTCCTTGATTATCCTGTTGAAGGAAAATAATCTTTGACATCCATAGGTATTAAATGTAATTGGAAAACTAGATATCAGGCAATGGTTAATAAGGCACACCCATTAACGGATGGGTTAATAACGGCACCAGTATAAAAAGTATAATCGCTAGCTTTTTTTTTCCCCTGTTTAGTGCTTTCTACTAAATTTTCGATTTACAATTTATGCTCTACAGCAAAGTCACACTTTAATTGCAAACCCAAAAACTTCAATGATATATTTTAAAAAGACAGATCGTATTGCAGTTCAAATAAGAGAAACGTATTAGGCTATAATACTAAATGCGTATATTTTCTTGTAATTCTAGGAACGGGAACTAATGCCTGTTTCATGGATACAGTATATGTAAATGAAGGATCACGGCCAAAGTCTCGCCCATACATGGCGAAACTTGACAATGATGTTGATCTGTGGGATGCAGACTCGTATGAACCACGGCAGGTTATTGTAAATACTGAATGGGGTGCATTTGGTGATGATGGTTGTCTGGATTTTATCCGAACAGTATATGATCGAGAAGTGGATAAGGTCTCTCTCAATCCAGGAAAACAGCTGTAAGCTACAAGGAAAAATCTTAAATGGTTATGTATAATTTTAATTTTTTAGTTTTTATTTTTTGCTTAACATTATATTTTATTTCAGGTTTGAGAAAATGATATCCGGCATGTATATGGGAGAGGTGGCACGTCAAGTATTAGTCAGACTTACTAGAGAGGGCTATTTATTTGGTGGCCAGTTCTCTACACAACTTCTCACACCATACGCTTTCAAAACGAAATATATCTCTATGATAGAAAGGTATGCATTTACATTTATTATGCTCCCGGTCTTCAGATTTTAACAATGTGGTTAAAAAATACATAAACCTACCTGTCAACATTATAACGTTAGTTATTTATTTTGAGAAAGTAATTTTACTGTTGTGCATATTATTGTGTAGTACAAAACTTCACTGTTAAAGAAGGAAAGTAAAAATCTAGCGTTAAAACTATACGCAATGGAAGAAAAATCCTCAAGAATGTTTCCATAACTTAAAATTTTGAATGCATAATGTTTTTAACTTGATTGTCATTAAAAGCTGTTTAAAATTATACGTTTATAGTACCAAAATTTGTATATTACCAAGAATAGCTAAAATTCAACTAATTTCAACTATGGAATAATAATTTTATAGAGAAGTAGGAAGTAATAATTTTTATAGAGTAGTCAAACTTATATCGAGTTTTTGGTAGTTATTCTATTGTTAAATTCATCTTTATTTTGACAGATATCATTTTAGTTACGAATATTTTATCGACAGAAAAGCGATATTGAAAAGCAACATTGAAAGCAATATTTTTAGACCATGTGTATTTTTAATCCATTTATTTATTTAAAAAGTGAGAATAATATTACTCGATTAAAATTATCATTTTCATCAGAGTGTTGTTGTTCTTAGTTAAAGCTAGTATTGAGTACGACGTTATTTTTATAGCATTCTAAAATTAATACGCATAGCAAGTCAGTAAATGCATGTTATAAACGGACTGCAGCATAAGAATTTTAATTACACGCAGCAATTCATTCAAAAATATTCTCAAATTAATTTTTGTTAAGAATTAATCTAGATGGAAGCAAATTTACAATGCATTCAGAGTGTTGACAAACTGTATCACAATGTGACTAAATGTTTTTAGCTATTCTGTAAGATAATTAGAATGTTTTGATTTATGCAACAAATACCAGTGAATACCAGTGTTACTCTGACGAAAGGCCTACTTAATTAAACATTCAGTATGTAAAGGAATATTACGTTAAAAGATTTTGAACATTTAAGAAGGTCTAATGACACAAACTTATTGCATAAATTGCATATTGTAAAACGTAGAAAAGCACATTTCCCCTCCAATTTGGTGATTTAAAAAGCAGTTTAAATCGATTTTATATTAAAGATGCCTAATCCGATTTACCTTTTTGTTAATTTCTTTATTAAAATAAGTGTGATAGATATTTAAATAATGGTAAGTGTTTAATTTAAATAAGGCTAATATCTTTGTTGATAGCAATTGGTAGTTGTGGACTGTATATTAATTCATGAAAGTCAAGTTGAGAAACTTAACAACATTTATTTTCTTTCAAGAACAATAATGCCGTTTAAACGGGCAAAAGTGAGTAAGGAATAATTAACAATTGACTGCCGCTTTGTTCGGGCGAGTAAGAGGAACGGAGACTCGGATGTGGATCGAGTGCATCCCTATTCGCTTACTGATTAGTACTGGGCTCTCGCCACTGACCATTACGTGGCGCTGCAAACGTTAAGCCAGTACAAATAGACACAGAAATATTCTAACCTGAGACGGAACATTCCGCCCGGCATTGAAATTTGATACATAAATTTTCAATTAATTAATTAAGTGACAAATTCACAATATTTTCAAAATTAATAATCACATAAATAATTGTGAGATTGCTACGATAGATCTAAAACTGAATTATGGAGTTTAAGAACATTAAATATTGATGCTACAAATCTAAAACTGAATTATGGAGTTTAAGAACATTAAATATTGAAAATAGTAATTATGCAAACAATATATACTAAGTTGATATAAAAAGTGTTACAATACACATACATTTCAAAATAAGCCATACAATTCCTTTAAACATATAATCATTATTAAATTCTTGTAATGTATAAACTGATTCCACAAATATATATAAAGTCAGTAGAAATTTGAATATTACATTGGCACTAAACAGATCTTTGATATAGATCTAGTGCAGATTCCTGAAGCAGTTTTAACTTTAGCTACACGTACCTTACCATCTGTACCAAGGATTGTCTCTAAAATTCTACCTAAGACCCAATTGCAAGGCTGCAAAATTCTCATCCTTAAGTAAAACCATTGCACCTGTTTCTAGATTGAATTTTTGAAACTGCCATTTATTGCGCTGTTGCAAACATCTGTACCAGGAATTGTCTCTAAAATTCTACCTAAGGCTCAATTGCAAGGCGGCAAATTCTCATCCTTAAATAAAATCATTGCACCTGTTTCTACATTGGATTTCTGAAACTGCCATTTATTGGGCTGTTGCAAGTGATTGAGGAAATCTGTTTACCAACGCTTCCATATTAATTGAACAAATTTTGTTGTCCGCTGCCACCTTGATAACCTATTATCAGTGATTTCAATAAGTTCACGCTCTGGTACAGACGTGATTGGACGGCCGAAAAATGTCCTGGCGTTAAAACTTCAAATTCATTAATATCATTAGACATAGGGCTTAACGGGCGTGAATTTAAAATTCCTTCAATCTGAGTAATGATTGTAAGAAATTCTTCTATAGTAACCTTAGTACTTCCCGTAGTTCTTCTAAGATGGTACTTAAAGGATTTAACTCCCGCTTCCCACAGTCCACCAAAATTCGTGATCTAGGAGTAATTAATTTCCAGACTATAGATTATGAGGTGAAATAGCTGGATAACGCCTCATCTGATTTTCTAATCAATTTCTGTAAACGCGTTAACTCTGTATGAGCCCCCTTAAAATTTGGGGCATTATCTGTAATGATGGAAGAGATTTTCCCTCTTCTCGCACAAAATCGCTTAAGAGCTGCTATAAAGGCTTCAGACGTCAAGTCTGTCACTACCTCCAAATGGATTGCTTTTGTGGCCAAACATATAAATACAGCAACATAGATTTTAGGAAAAAGGCCCTTACGTTGACCCTTGAATTGTACATGAAATGGTCCGCAAAAGTCAACGCCACAATTAAGAAAGGTTGAGGTCGGAGTTATACGCTCAGTGGGAAGATTACCCATGACCTGACTTGCTGCAATTGGTTTGTTTTTAAAACAAATCACACAAGCATGAACTAGCTTACAAGCCCCCTTGCCGTGAATGGGCCAATATTTCAAACGCACCTGATGAAGTAAACCCTGCGCTAAAATATGTAGGTACTTCTTATGAAAATATTCAAAAATCAATACAGTAACTTTATGAGTAGGAGGCAAAATTAACTGGTGTTTACAATCAAATAATAAATTTGAGTTTTTTAATCTTCCTCCAACTCTTAAAAGAGAATTCTCATCTAGAAAAGGGTCAAAGACCTTTTAACTTACTTTGTGCAGGAATAGGTTTACCTCGTTGAAGAGCTGTAATTTCCGAATTAAAGGCAGTTAATTGGGCATGCCGTATAAGAAACTCTCAGCCTTTTTCATCTCATCTATAGTTAAATATCCCTGCATCTTATCCTGGAATTTACAATTTAAGATAAACCTGAAAATAAAACTGAGAATTCTTGATTAGCTTAGGAAAATTATTGGAAAGTTTCAAAAAAGAGTCTATAAAATGTTCATTTCATTGTCAAAGTCAGAACTGGAATTCAATGATTGTTTCAGTTCTTTCTCATACTCCTTCGTCCGACGAATAAGAAATGCATTCTGGAAATGGAAGTTGCTGATTAGAGGAAACTCAGGACCTGACCACCACAAGGAATTAGCCAAAAGTTCACTAGTGTCTGCTCCTCGGGATATTATATTCGCTGGATTTTTCTTTGAGGCAACATGACCCCATTTGAATTGGTTTGACTCAAAGTTTTGAATTTCAGCAATTCGATTGCTCACAAAAGTTTTGAGCTTGTACGCAGGCGTGTTTATCTATGCTAGAACAATAGTAGAATCACACCACAAATAAACATCATCGAGACTTAAGCTGCAGAGCTGTTATTCACCTTTGACACAAAGCCTACACAGAAGTAATATGCTCCACACAATTCAAGACGTGGAATTGTAACAGGCTTTATAGAAGAAACTCTGGATTTGCTACAAAGGAGATTGGAATAATTCATTCTATCAGTGGTAGTAATACAACGGATGTAAATAGCTAGCTGGCTCATAAGCCTTTTCCGAGAACCATGAATGTGTACCAGAAGTGTCCGAGAACCCATGGATCTCAGTTCTAACGGGAATGTTCAGTTAAAACATATCTGGGAATATTCAATTGATCGATTAACTGAAGCTGGGAAAGGAATTTTTTCCATTCACACAACTCTTTGGGAGGTAATTCCTCGTTTCCAGTCCAGTTTCAGCAGCCATAGTCTCTGCATGAATATTTTTGCCCTCGTTACTACGGGTCCGATGAGACCCAATGGATCAAAAAGCTTAGCTATTTCAGATAGTACCTGACGTTTAGTAAAGCTGTCTTGATTGTTCACAGCTGTTTTGAAAGTCAAGTGATCATCCTTCGGTTTCCAGAGCATTCCTAGCGTCTTCACTACACTTTCTTGAGATTCAAAGGAATATTCCTGTGTTGAAATATTATGCAGCAGTTCAGGATGATTGGACACCCATTTATGTAGCTCCATACCTCCACAACGAAGCATTTGTACTAATTCAGACTGAAGCTCCTTTGCTTCTTCTAAAGTATTTCCTCCTGTCAGGATATCATCCATATAAAAATCCGTAGATGTGACCGCAGCCGCCCTCGGAAAATAGTCCTGTTCGTCAGCTGTCAATGCCTGTAAGGTTCTCATGGCTAAGAACGGCGCGCTAGTAGTGCCGTATGTAACCGTACGTAACCTATACACTTGAACTGGGGCCTCGCGGCTTGGCTTCCAAACAATTCTCTGTTAATTTCTTTGCGATGGATGTATGAGTATTTGTCGATACATCTGCTTAATATCGGCACTAAAGGCAAAGCGATGTTTTCTAAACCTAGAAACTATAGAAAAAAGATCTTCTTGAATTGTGCCTCCGTTCAAGAGAATTGAATTTAGCGAATAGCCACTGGATGATTTACACGATGCATCGAAAACAACTCTAAATCGAATTGAAGTTTTCTCCGGGTGATATGATGGGGAATGCATGATGGGGAATGTAGTAACAAGTGTCACAGTTATCCACGAGCATAACAGGTTCCATGTGATTTAGGTTTAAATATTCGTTCATAAATTCCTTATACAAATTAGCCATAGTCTTTATTAGCATCAAGACGATTCCAAATTGTGTTCAATCTCTTAATAGCAATTTCTTTAGATGAACTCAGCATAGAAGTAGCATCATCCATTCATAGGTAATTTTACTATGTATCTACCTGTTTCATCACTGCGAGTATGTTTCATTAAAAGTTCCTTTCGCAAAATATTTTTCTTCATTCTTTGCAACTTCCATTACCATCTCCCTGGAAAGGATTCTAATTCGAAAAACTTCTTAATTGCATTATCGAGACTTGATTCCTTTATCAAATAACAATAGGATTGATTATTAACAGTAGGTAGAACCCCTGTCATTTAAATAACCAAATTCTGTGTTTTGCAATATTATGTTTCCATTCAGCGCTTGAACTCTACCTTCTTTGAAGATGTTAAAGAATAACTCATTTCCTATCAATATTATTGATTTTACCAGGTGTATAGAAGTTAAGGGTCTGCTAATTTAATGTCATGCGGTATCGTTAGATTAGAAATATCCAGTTTTGTCGAAGGAATTACATCTGTTATTTTTGGAATAAGGCACGTAATTCTAAATTGTGAGAAAAGGTCTCTGTTTCGTTCGAAATATGGGCTACAATCTTCGTTTTGATTGAATGAGCTGATCCTACTTATTCCCGAAATGTGCGTTCGGATGGGTTTAGTTTTCAAGCACAAAAATTCTGCGCATTCTTTGGTGATGAGGCTCATTTGCGAACCCCAGTCCAGTAAGGCTCTTATTCTGCAGCGCTGCCCGAACATATTCGTAACATAAATAACCACCGTACTCAGTAAGACAGTTTCCCGCACCGGGAAATAGATGCAAGACTATATATATACTGCTTGCTGTATATTGTCACCAGAAGCTTCTTCGGAGGGGTTTGTTTTTTTCTGGTTTGACGGAAGGCAGGGAGTGTCCGTTGGACCCTGAGGGTCATTGTGCCTATGGAGAAGAGAATGATGTTTTCGGAAACAGTGGCGTACGAAAAGTTAGAATTGCATTCTCCGGAATAAGTTTTTAGACAATTCACACAAATTTTTTTTATTTTTGACGATAATGAGCCTATTTCCAACATTCATTTGTTTGAACGCACTACATTTAAAGAGGGCATGGTTTCCTTTACAATGGATGCTTTTTTTTTTTTTTTTTTTTGAGTTGGAATGAATTGAATTTATAACAAAACCTTTTGGTTTTGCACCGATAATTTTTTACAGAAGTTTTAGAAATACTTTTCATAATGGTCTGAAAACTCTCAGGTTCAACTTATTTACTAAATACTAAAATTGTAATTAAATTATTACTTATGTATTAAAATACTAAAATTGGAAAAACTGCAGTTTGACATTCAGTTCTAAGTAAGAATTAGGTAATTTCAGTGCCATTTTCTTATTTTTAGAGAATATTTTTGCATTTACTAAAGTATTTATAATTGTGTTATCTACCATATTTTTATGTGAATAAAATTAAAATAAATTCATCGAAAACTTTTATGTATTTTTTGATACTTATCAGTTATATTGAGTCGTTACAAAAGCATATTAATAAACATCTATGTCTTGATTTTGGATTAATATTCTTTTCGAGATGCGCAGCCATAGAGGCAGCTAAAAACCACAAATCCGTCTTGCTACTAGGTACTTTCGAGGAACGTTCAGTAAATTCTAAGCCCAAAGTATAAAGACAAAATATGTATTTTTAAATAAACTTAACCAGATCTTTTTTCCTAGTTGTCGCGAATAACAATGCGCTGAGCATTGCTCGTAGTGAGTTCCCTGATTCCAAACGAGATGATTTTGCTACTGTTTTTTAAATAATACTCAGTCGAGTTTTAAATACTTCATCGTATTCATTTCTAGCATTCTTTCATATTCCAGCTACCTGAATACTTGAAAGCTTGAATATGGGAATAAAATTCCTGTAAGTCCAGCAAGAGTGCCCGCTTGCATGTAACCTTCAAATAGCAGCTATTTATGGAGACCTGACACTGAAATATCTAAAACGCAATGAAGATCTGGAGATTTCCTACCTTGAATCCCCAGATTCCAATGTATAAATTTTCATGCTTCCTTGGATATTCACCGGTATTTCTCTTTCCTTCAATATAAATTAAATAATGCAATGTTTGGTGATTCTATTTTCTCATATATTGTCGCCTTAAGAACTTTAGCTCAGTCACAGAAACCACTGATTGCGGATAGTTGCACAGCTGGTGTTTTGTCAGGGGTCGTGCAAAAATATTTTCACCTCATTACGCTTTTCTTCTGCCACTTGTAGGTTTAGATTCTACTGAACGTTCTCTTTATTTTAGAAAGCTTATAAATTTTCATTTCTTTTCTCTAGCTATTTTAAATTCAAAGAATGCTTACTTTTAGTTTACAGTACTTTCTACAAGTGTGTTTACCATGACGAGACTTTTCATAATAATCAGCAGCTAAACTCATCATCAAAATAAATAGCGCTCAAACCGACGCAATATATGTGTCTTTACAAAATTCACGATGATTTAATTTTATTTGGGCCACAACAATTACTATCTGTATGTTCATAAAATTAGAATATCTTATTAAAATCTCCACATTTGAATATTCTAAGCGTGTACTCAAATCTTTATTTACGTATTAGCGCTCAAAATAGTATTTTGCTTCGAAAGTAATTGAAATGAACTAGATTTAAGGTAAAATATTTAATAAAATGGCTGTACAATTCATTTAAGTATCATTTTTTGTTTTTATATACAAGATGCAATTAGAATCACACTTCAAACTGAGAAGTTAATTAAGTATGGTAGAACCTTTATTCTTTTCAAGTATGAGTAGTATTTCCATAAAATTGTCGCTAACAGCTTCAATTTACAGTGTGTTCATAAATCTCAAAATGAAGAGAAATTTTATTTTTTTTTTCTCTTTCATTCGTTTATACTCTCAAATACAAAAATATATGCACTTTCTCTAAATATGCTCTATCTGTTTTGTATGTTTAGCGACAGGAAGAATTCCTTTGAAGAAACTAGAAACGTTTTAAATATTCTGGGCCTGGAACATGCTACTGATTTTGACTGCAACAATGTGAAGTTGGTTTGCGCCAGAGTTTCTACACGGGCTGCCTTTTTAGTTTCAGCTGGTAAGTTTACTTTAATGAATGAGAATGAAATAAATGTATACGTGAGTAATAGCTTACGAACCATGGGTCATAATACAGGGAAGACCCAATCCTCCTAATCCCACTGGACCATATGATTATAAAGGGTCGACACGAATCACGGGTATGGAAATTTTAAAATTTTTCTAAAAGACATAGAATGAGCTAATAGCTAAAGCCCAGGAAACAGTAGTAGCTCTGATCTTGGTGGCTGAATGAAGTGTCGAACTGTGACCGACCGAACGGGGCTTTTGAGATTTATCCACTGTGTAATGAAGATATGAGCCAGTCTCTTTTTATAAAGTCCATTTGGGAAAATTACTTTCTGTACTGCTGTAACTAATTTAACTACCAACTATCAACTGATATTCAGAAGTAATGAACAGTGACTCAAAAACTTCTCGATGGTTTGTGTAGTTTTATTTGATTATAGCACCCTTAGGACTATCTGATGCCTTCGTAACTTTTAGATGGTAGGGTTATTTCATTAAGAAAGGAAATAAAAATTAGTTTTTGTTAAGAAATGGGGAAATAAAAATTAGTTTTTGTTAAGAAATGGGGAAATAAAAATTAGTTAAATCTAGATTATACTGTATTAAAATCGTCACAATTCTGATAGTTTTCTGTCTAGAAATCTATATTTCAACTGTTGGCACTACTCAAAATTCAAGTTCGTTATTAATTTTAAGTGAGTGTTTGGCTCAGTATGTCATTAAAATACTGCGATAACATTTTTAATGCTTTCATTATCAGATATATATATTTTAATCAATGTTTGTGTTATTTTAAAAATGTGTCTGATTTTTAGATCATAATTATTAAATACTGGAATATTTATGTATTTGTATTAAAAATTTATCCTTCTTCCAAACAGCTGTTGCAACTATCTTAAATAAGATAAAAAGGCCACATACAACAGTAGGTGTTGATGGATCTGTGTACAAGTGCCATCCTCATTTTCATGATCTGATGGAGAAAAAAATTGAAGAACTCACAGTTCCTGATTACAAGGTAAGTTAGCAATAAAATGTCAGTCAATTATACGTATCGATAATTAAGGCTGTTAGCATGATTAAAACAGCTTGAGATAAGGAAAAGTCTCACTAATTTAAACATTCTTTCAGCCGTCATTTATTGGAAGCCAAAATTTTGGTGCTGATAATTTTATTCAAAAGACTACCAACATGAGTAGTAATAAATACAAGATTCTTGCGCCAGCTCAAGTATAAATCATTGATAAAATGCTTTTGGGGGCTGGAATTAATGGAAAAGGCTGAAGGCAGAGAGTCTGAATAATTGTATGAATTCGTCAAACGAAAATGTCGCTCAGTTACATTGATAATCTTGCTCCTGAAGAGTGTAAGACCACCCTTCTGGTTCTTGAAGCCGAGTTAATCTTTTGCATTCATATTATTGCCAAACTAAAATGGTTTTTATTGAATATATAATAAACCTTCAAGGGTATTGTTCATTAGCTCAAATTCTCATCTTGCCATGCTTTGCAAATGCAGATGCTATTTGCTTTAAGTTTTACTGCTTGCTAATCGGGTGGTTTATCGAACATTATATTGCGTCACTGTAAGAAATAAAATTAGATCAGTAATTAGGTAGCAGAGAAGAATGGTATATTTGGAAACTTAATTTTTTTTTACCCGCTTGTGTTTTGGATTCATTAAACAAAATGACACACAGAGTATTTGTGAATTGGGAGATTTTTCATGATAACTTTCACCGTTAAAAAGTTTGCCAATAAAATTATTTAGCTAGAAAAATACCCGTGATTAATAAAATATATCTTTTTGTACCACTTTTGCCCACAAGATACAGAAACTTGCTAAAAAATTTTTTTTTAATGTTTTCTTGATGTTTTATGAACAGCGATGAAAATTTCTTCTATGTATTATTTGGTACTTCCTCCCTCCTGTTCTTAACCTCATTTTCGATTTCTGTCGGTTATGATGTTTATTTTGTATAACTTTTTTTTCTATAAGTTACTTTACAGCTTAAGTCTTCTTCATGTTTCAAATTTCAACATAGTCTTAAATATTATTTGTATGACTGTCCTTTGTAGAAACGTATTTTTAATTATTATTTGTTATTGTTTTATGCTTTTAATATTAATTTTTGCATGTTTTACCTTTTTCTAAATATTTTACTTCAGGTTTTCAAGTTGTTTATAGTTATTCTGTTATCTATTGTTCTCATCTTTATTCTCTTATTTTCTTTGATTTGCTAAGGATTACAGCTTATAGTCATTTAATTATTTTACTTTTGTATTGTTTTATTGCTTTCTGTTCATTATAATCTTATTTTGCTGTCATAATCACATATTTATTATGAAAATCAGAGTTAATTTTACGAATTCATATTATTTGACTCACTTCTGTTCCCATGAAATAAATGTTGCCAAACACATCTCCTTTTCACTATATTTCTCATGGGAAGAAGTATTTCTCACATATTATCTCATATTTTATGTGTTTGCTTCCGTCTGTTTATATGTATCCTTTCTACCTAGAAATATTTTGTTGGCTATTTTTGTTTTTACTATTTTAAATATTTTTCAGAGTTTTTCCAATTTTTGGGCCAAAGGAGCAATTTGCCAAGAAGAGCTATTAATTTCGTTTTGGCATTTTGCGTTGATTCACTATAAACGGCGAATCACTTTTTAAATTGTTGCCACCAAATATCAGAGCCTTGCATTATATTTAATTAAATTAAATAATGAAGAATCTACATAAATATATGTTTCTCTCATTACGATAAAACAACGGTACCTACAGCCATCAAATTTTGAATAACGTACTTCTCCACCCGAATATAAGCCCAAAATCTGGAAGCCCAAATTTGGAATTTGTTTTATTATCTATTTCATATTTTGTAAAGCATTTATGAGTTTTTCATTAAGAAACTCAAAGATTTCAAAGCGAGCAATGGCAACACTGTACAAGGGGCATTTTTATCTCCAGCGCGTACGGGGGGGCATTTTTATCTCCAGCGCGCAATATTGTGTATCAGAAATTCTAAAGATATGCTCTTTTAAATACTTTGTGATATTGCTGTTGAGTTGAATTTAATGGTTTAAGTGCGAAGAACATGATATTTAATAAATAAAGGTAACACATAAAACGTTAAAAAAAAATCCCTCTGGGCATAATATAAAATCTGAAGGCTTTCAGATTTTTTTCTAATTTTTTTATATTTATTTATCAATTATTTTATTGCAAATAATTTTAATCTATTTTTTGGAGCTGTGTTCGCTACACTTTAAATTAAGTAGCAACTGTTAGCATGCTATGTGAGAAGTGTGAAATGGAGAGTTCAGCGACAGGAGGCAGTGCGCAGTGCAGATTGCGAAGGCGGATTGCGGATGATCCAGCACCCGGAGGTGCAGTAGATAAGGAGTGTGTCAAGATTCTTCATTAAACTGATAAGATGACGTCACACTTTGATAAGAGATTATCTTTTATTGATTTTCCGGAAGTTCTTTGTTAATCCATGTTTAGACTTTATATTTTCCTTTGTATTCCAGCAATTTTACTAAGTATATGATGGTTATTTTCTAGGTACCTTTAACGACGATTATTTTCGAATTTAATGATTAATTCAGAAGCCCTTAATTTTAGATGTAAATTTTTTTAGGACTTCCCTATATACTCAGAATTTTACCTTATTTCCTAATCTTCTGTTCATAAAACCAGATTTACTTTCCGTTAAGCTTAATTACATTACTCATTTTAGTATTAAATTTATTCTACCCAGAATTCCTTTTAATCAAAACTTTTAACTTATCTGTTATATTTTACAAGTGTAATTACTAAAACACGGTTTTTTTATGTGTTATATTATTTAATGTTAGATGTAATTTTTAACTTTTTTCCTTCTTTTTAACGTTAGCGATCTTCAACATATTCTGTATTTTAACTTATTTCATACTTTTATAATCATATACTTGACTTGTATTTAATTTTAGATGTAACATTTCTAGCTTGTTTTGTACATTTTTAACCTTCACACTATTTAATATACTCCAATTTTTAACCATTTTATATTTTCACACTATAGACATGACTTTTACTTGATTTCTCTCATACATTTTAACCTCCATAATTTCCAATATAGTCCTAATTTTAACATTATTCCTATATTTTCACATCATATCCCTGACTTTTATTTAATTTTAGGTGTAAATTTTGACTTCTTTTCTATATTTTAAAGTTTTTAGTTTCCAATATACTCGGAATTTTAACAAATTTGCTATATTTTCACATGACTTTCATTTAATTTATAGCTACTTTCATACGTTTTAACCTTCGTAATTTCAAACATATCCTTAATTTTAGCTTAATTGCTCTATTTTCTGACTATATATATGAATTTTGTTTAATTTTAGATGTAATTTTTAACTTGTTTCATACATTTTAAACTTCGTAATTTTTAAAGTACTCTAATTTTTAACTCGCTTACTACATTTTTCTACTATATACCTAACTTTTACTTAAGTTTAGATATAAATTTTAACTTCTTTTCTACTTTTTAACGTTTTTAGTTTCCTACATATTCTGAATTTTAACTAATTTGCTAGATTTTCACACTATGTACATGACTTTTACTTCATTTCTCTCATACATTTTAACCTTCCTAATTTTTAAAGTACTCTAATTTTGAACTTGTTTATTGCATCTTCCTACCTATATACATGAACTTTAGTTAATTTTAGATGTAATTTTTATACTTTTCTGGCACTGGTTTTCTTTCTAGTTTCCAACATACTCTAAAGTTTAACTCTGTTTTATAATTTTTGATTGTAATTGCGCTTGTGATTTTACTATTTCAGCTAAATTACACGCTTAAATTTCTTAAATATAGAGACAGTTTTCAATTAAACATTTTATTTTACAACCTTTAACTGTTATTCATATCCAATTCGTCGAATAGCCCTTACTTAGTCCATATTTTACAGTACTATTTTAATTTGCCATTCTGCAACTTATCATTCTGTAGTACACTTATCATGACTTATCCTACTATTTTCCTTCATTATTAACTTCATTCGCATTTTCAAACTTTAACATTTCCTGCATATTCGGCATTTCCTTTTTAATTCTTAATACCCTTTATATCTGAATATATTTTTAAGCTCTTCAGTGTTACCAATGTTCAGTTTTGAATCTTGATTATCATTAAGCTAGTTTGATAGATTCCGAATTTTTAGAATAAAATCTCAACTTTCATCCATAATTTTAGACCCATATTCATTCTTTCATGTACTCATACAAAATTCTTTCTTATTATTTTGAACGCTCAGTACCTTTTAATTCAGTAATTTGTACTAATTGAATGCATTCTACATCACTTTAAATGTTTCGACTATGCAAATTTTCACTTTATTACCTTTTCCTACACTAAGTATGGATATTTCTGCCTTCATGAATGATTTTGCATGTGAAATTGACGATTATTTAGGTTACATATCCAAAAGAAAGTCCTAATACATTTCCAGTTTTGAATAAGAGATGAATGACCAATCGATTTTACCCATTGGATTACAATTTCATCTCTTGAAAGTTTGTTTTATTGGTATACATTTATTTCTAACACATAGTGTTAACACTTTTTTTTTTTGTAACTTAGTCCAGTTCCAACTTAATTTCCCTAGACAATATCATATATAGTCTGTTTTTTTTTTAATTTCTTAGACTAAAATGTTCTTTTTGCAAATGTCAGTTTGCATTAATTTATTTACCAATTTATTTTCTTATGAATGAAATCTTGTAAAACACCACTACACCTTTACACAACATATATCATTACAAATATACCTATATTTACAGAAGGAACCAAAGAGAGAAAGAGTAAGAGACATTTTACCCAAATCTCCACTATAATATCGAATATTTTAACCTTCTTCATCACAAATACAGAACTTTCTACATACAATACTTATCATAGCAGTTAAACATGCCTTACTAATACACATTTGATGAGGAATAACATACAGAACAGAACCTTTTCAATTCAAAATTACACCCAAA